ACTCCGCGCAACGGGGGATGATCGCACCACGTTGTGTTAAAATGGTCAAGCATCCTCGAGACAGTTACACAGTGCTTACAACTGTCTCTGGAAGTGAAAGCACCAGAAAATAAATTAAGTCATACGTAGCTGTCATCCGTACGCAAGGAAGTAAGCACAAGATGCCGAACACCCTTAGCAGGATGGCAGCTCACCCTTCATGCGACTCGCCAAATACCTCACGGCGCTTCGCGCTTGGTGATGTGAGAGCCTGGTCCGGTGAGAACCCGGCGTGCTCCGTCCCGGCTTTGTAGGGATGCGAGGTCAATGGTCAAACGACTACGGCATGCACGACTATGAGTACACCCCCCCCCCCTCCCCTCCCCGGCCCCAAATATTGTGGCGCCCCGCTCCGCCCATCCTCCCAGTTTATCATGTGGACCAGGCCTTCTTGTTGCGGATGTATTCCCACAGCGGGAAAAAAAATAAAGTATCATTTCACAGCATTCAGACGGTCATCCAATGGCTGAAATGGGGTGGCGAAGACATTCCTGAAATAACTGAAAATGCAGGCCCGATCCACACCTCAGCGGTAAGGATATCCGCCCGCCTCGACGCAAAAAGAGACGGAATAACTGCTACGTACATAACTGCTGTAGTCGGATAGCTGCTGTTCAAAACGGAAGTAATCTTCTTGAACGTCGATTCTACGCACACCGAGTGAAGCGTAAAACCCAGAGCTCCTCCTGACTTCTTTAACAGCTTCCTCTGAAGTCGTGCTACTCGTGCGTGTTCTACTCCTTTGCGTAAATTCCAAACCCATCCCAAATACGAGGCACCTGTAACCCCCCCGGCAAGGTACACACCTCCGGACACCAAGCCGCTCCTATGCGGCGACCTGAGGTTGTTTCCAGAATTCGACCCCGACGAACTGCCCCTGCGAAGACGCGGGGGATGCACTGCAGTACCCCCATCCGCGCCTCCCGCCGCCAGGCGGCCGCTCTGGGGCTGGACGATGGGCGTCGAGAGGGCAGCCGGAGCACCCGGAGGGTGGATTGGTTCCGAGCGTCCGCCGTCCCCGCTGCTGCCCCCACCACCTGCGGGGGCCCTGCTGAGGCGTGCGATTTCCTCTTCCAAGCCCGAGTCCATCTCTCTCTCTACCTTACTCCTTATCGCTTTCACGGGTTCAGCTGTGGTGGTCCTCGAGGTTCCCGTGGGAAAGTGTTACTCAAGACGAGGGTTGCGTGACGATACTGTTCCCAACGAGCGTCTCACAACTACTAAACTATTACAGGTTGCAATGCAAGGACGAACGAGTTGCAACGACAACGACATTGACAACGAGAGTTGGGGGAACGGCAGCTGGGATACAAAGGATGTACAAGAAGTTTGTTTGAAAGTTCCGCCGCGTGCTTGGCGAGCTGGCAAGGGGAGGGCTGCTGAAAGCTGTGCTGCTACAGCAGTAGTGCCGTCTAGCCGAGTGTCGTGCCTGTCCGGTCGCTCTGTGCGGAACGCAAACGAAACATACTCTGTGAAGAGATAGAACCAACGAAACGAGCCTGCATTCGTAAGCTAGATCGGATAGACACACCGCGCCTGTGGTGCGCACCTGGTGTGTTGTATCACATCTTCACCAACCTCCGCCAGGGAGCAGCAGCAGTTAACATGCCTTCTGCTACAGCCGCCAAGCCGAAATTGAAGCTGCAGATGGAGCTCTTCAGCGAGGCGAAGGCACACTGGGCTGCGCCTTATCGCCAAGTTTTCTGTCAGGTGTGTCGTGTGTTTGTGGGTAACGCATGTCAAGTAGTGTGCATATGCATTGCCGAATCGCATCGCATGTTGCTGGGCCGCATGCTTCTTGCGTCACGGATGCGTTCGTTCCATTTGCTCTCCTCTAGTTTGTGAGCGAGACGTAGTGGTCCTGTTGTATTCTTCATGTAGCCCGAGGGCGTCTGTTTACGTTCAAACTAAAGCAATACACACATTATGCACACAGCAGCAGTACGACTTCCACAAAGAGTTACCGCCGTGATCCAGCTACTGTGTAACAATAGTATTAGCAAATCTCACCTCGATGCACGCACAACGCAAGCGAGTTTGCATAGAAGGCAACCCAGTACAATGGGAGAACGAGATGATGGAGCAGCAATGCCACCTGATAGCATCAGAGCCATGTTTAGCAGAACAGAGCAGAGCTCGCGCAAGCTTCCCCCATGTGCGTAGTCCGACCAGGGTGCCGCCATCCGCGTGGAGAAGGTGTGCGAGCGTGACTTATGGAACCCGCACCTGCCCCCCCCTGTGCGTTTGGCCACAACATTGCAGCACGACAAAGACACGGTGGTGCTCTTCCGGGCATGCTGCGAGCACCTCGGGCCGCATGCGACGGCAACGCAGTGCTTCCGCGGGAGCCCGTGCTACGAGAAGGACAGAACGCGCATGATGTGGTTCGACTCTTCGTTCCTCGTGTGTGAGTATTATAGTCATTGTGGCACTCGCTTCCAGGCGCAGACTTGTCTAGGTTGAGAGTATCGCATGGCAGCATTGTTCGCTAGAGACGGGGCTGGTACAAAGGGCATAGGATACGAGGAAGGAGTGAGAGGCGCATAGAGAGAGACCAATACCGCCATCGATAGGGTTACGGAAGAGCATTTTTCTTGATAACGAGGTCTTTTTCGGAATGTTTTTTTTTTTTAACCTCGGCGCAGGTGATTGTAGTTATCACATGTCGGCGCAGGTCGTCGTTTCGGGTTTAAAATTGACGCTGTGCGGTTGAAAGAGAATCTGCGAGGCCGGTATTCACCTATGTCCGCCACGCCATCGTAACACGTCCGAGCCACTCCCCTGAAGTCCAACGCACCTCTCTGTGACGGTGTCGTCCTTTCCGACGAAAGCAGCGATGCGAAAGTCGGAGTGGGGCACGAAAAAGGGCAGGGAAGTCGTCCTTGCAATTTGGGTCAAGCGCTCGTTCATCGAGGACTGCTTCGGCATGGCGGTTTGCTCCAACACGTTTGGGCCCTCTTGTGGCGGCGGCGGCGGTGGCAATGGCAGCAGCGGCGGCCGCAAGGGAAGCGGTGGTATTGGAAGGCGCAGCAGCTTTGCCGTGACCCCCTTTCCGACTAGCGACAGCGGCGGCGACGACGGCCGATCCCCCCCGACCTCGGGATTCCCCACCCCCGTAAACAGTGTGGCCGGTTCACCCCCCGCGTCCCCTGTCAGCGGACAGCAGCATCAGCGACGAGAGCAGGAAGCCACTGCGTCGGAAAGTGAAGGAGGACGGGCCAGTGGCGGCGACGGCGCTCGTGACGATGCCCGTCGTGCTGCCGCTGCTGCTGCGACGTCCACCGCTCTGCTGTCGAAGGGACAAGCCAGCCTGGCGCAAGGAAATGAGAATGACGAAGACGACGACAACATTCCCCGCGGTCGAGCAGTTACGGGCGACCCATCAACGAGATATTACTTTGGTGGAAGCGCAGGTGATCCTTTGGGAGAGCGCAGGAGCGAAGGCGGGAGCGGGGGTGGGGGCTTCGATGAAGGCGCGGGCCTGGAAGGGGGGGGGAGAGCACCGGAGCGCAGGGCTCGATCGCAAAGCTTGGCATCGCCGAGCTACAGCGGCAGGATGACGGACGGGGTGCGCTTGCACTGGGAGCCGGAAAGGCTTCCTTCCGGCGAGAAGGTGACGTGGACGTGGTTGTGTGGTCGGGTCGGGTTTTGGGCTTAGATGCACGTTTACATGTTGTTCCCCATTGTTTCGTTTGGTGTCTTTTCCCTTCGGCGCCATAAATGCTACATGTGAAGCAGATGCTCCGGTGCTGTTAATTGTTTGATATTTTTGTCCGCTAGGGGTATGTCGCAACGATGGGAAATTGATTGATGTGAGTATCGTAACGTTTCACCAGCCTACGCTTTTTGTCAGGATAGACTGCAATATTGACGGCGATGACTGAAATATATTAGCCAAATATCATAATTGGCTCCGAAGGGGGGAGGGGGGTACACTATTCGGAATTTTGTGAGCATGGCAATTCCCGATGGTGATTTCCATGATCACTCAATCACGAATTGAGCGTTGCCGGCAAATTGAGCGTTGCCGGCAAATCTGCAAGAAAGTCGTCCAGCCTTCAACCAATCAGGGCTCGTCCATTTTTGGTTTGATTCAGGTTGCTCCAACATCTTTAGTGCTTGGTCTTACGGCTGACACCTTCTCCCCCCCTCTACCTTGTTCTCCCTCTTCGAAAAACTATCAGCACCGTACGCGCCGCGTCGTACAGCTCGGCCTGAAGGGGAAATGGTTGGAGAGGCTTGGTTCCGGGGACGCTGTTGTACGTGTAGAGCGCCTAGATGACCTCCTGATCGAGCAACGCACGGCGTTAACCTCCTCCGAGCCGCACCTGTTGAGGGTACCGGTGGCAAGGCCGCTTGATATGGGCCATCTCCAGGTGTAGATAGTAGGCATGATTAAATCTGTTTTGTTGTCTTCCTGTTCGGTATCGACACCTGGCAGAACATGCGTCGCCAGAAACGGGCGCGCATTCATTTCATGCGACGATTGTTGACATTTTTCCGGTTTCCACGTTCGTTTCCGTCCCATTCCATTCCATCCCATCCCATCCTACCATACCGGTCACCCGATGTGCGCCCGGTGATACGAACACTGTTTGTCAGGACACCCAGTTAGCTGCGCTTCACCTCGTGAGCGAGAGAGCCCGGCCAAAGTTGCGGATCCTCTGCCTCCATGGGTACCTCCAGAACAGCCAGGTAGGTTAAGTTCGGCTCGGCGACCAGTTGAACACTTTGGCCGATCTGACGACGTATGCACACGACCGGGTAGAAAACTTTTCTAGTCTACCTCAGGGCCACGCGTGGTTTCAGAAACACCACTTTGGGTATTTGTTCTTGCCCTGTTTGACTCGCATGTTCGCTTGGTTTCCCCCTCTTCTCCGCTCCCCCCCACGCACACCAGATATTCAGCCAGAGGACGCGCCAGCTCTGTAAGAAGCTCAAGAACACGGCCGAGCTGGTGTACGTGGACGCGCCGCACCTCCTCTCTCCCGAGGAGCTTCCGCCGCCCTTGCCCCCCAACCCTTCCTCCCCCCTACAGGCCGCAGCCTCAAAGTTCACGGCGGCGGCGGCAGCGGCGGCCGCAAAGGTGGTCAACACGGGAGAGGGAGGAGCACTAGGGGTCGGGAAGGAGCAGTTGACGCCGGCCTCTTCGCCCACGTTCTCGCCTCCGGCGTCCCCTGCTTGTGGGAGCAAGACGGAAAGTGATAGCGGCGGCGGCGGTGGTAGCGAAGGCAACGCAGGTACTCCTGGGCAGCAGCAACAGCATCTGGACAGGGTTGGGGCGCGCACGTGGTGGCGATGCGACCCAGAGGAGAGGAAGAGGGCCAAAGCCGTGCCAGGGATGGCTGGGCGGTGCGAGTGGAAGGTGTAGCATGTCTCTCATCCTCACAGCATTCCGCCATGAAATGCCGTGTTTTGTTTTTGCCAAATTACAGCAGCCATCGTTTCAGCCTGCTGACTCAAGCAAGCCCCATTCGAAAGGCCTTTGCTTCATGGATAGTCAACCCGCTGCTTGTTTTGGGGTGGTTGTGCTGGGCTACTCCGAACAGAACTCCAACCCGTCTAGTGCACTAAACCGCCTCCCGTGCTCGCTGTTTTTGCGCTGTTTCGTTAATGGGGCGAGCATGGAAATCTGCAACACCCGATCAAAGAGTCATCCAAGATCAACTCCAAATGAAGAATACGGTTTTCTTCCGGCCACCCGTCACCCAGTGCCTGTTCTCTTCCATTTCTTACGTGTAGGGCCTGGAGGATAGCCTTGCGTTTCTGAGGCAAGTGTGGGACGAGCGGGGCCCCTTTGACGGGTTGCTGGGGTTCAGCCAGGGAGCGGCGATGGCGAGCATCTTCAATCACTGCGCATTCTCCGGCCGCGAGAGCTGCAGCAACGGCGGCGGCAGCGGCCACGGCGACCTTGCGGTGCGACAAACGATTTTATGGCACCCACAAACGCTACTAGAAGTATAATCTACGGCCACCGAGCACGAAAGCAGCGCGGCGGGAAGAGACAAGCACAGCACGCAGTTTCTGCGTACCACGACAACAGTTTTGTTTGTTGTAGCTCCTTCGCTGTTCTTATTTCGATTGCAGTCGCCGTGGGGACATGACGCCAGCTTCCTCCGAGGGCAGTATGTTGTTTGCAGGGAGATCTCGGGGGGAGGAAGCCCTCGTCACCTTTCCCGCAGGGACTGGGGAGAGGGGGTAATTCGAGCACACTTTTCTTCGTGTGTTGTAGTCTGTTTGGCAACGACGCAATAGAGTACCCGAACTTCGGAGGTCTCTCTTCAGGAGCAGGTGTTCCGGCTTGAAAGCGTCGCATCGTCTGCGTCAAGCGATGGAAGACACGCAACGAATCAGCTTGCCACCCGTCCTCCGCTCCGCGCGGGGCCTGCATCTATTATCATAGGAGGAGGGCACAAGCTTACATGCGTGCGTCCTGCCTGCGGGCTGCGTTGATCCGGAGCAACCAAGAGTAAACATTTCGATTGCTCTCCTTGAACATGTTCGTGTTTGTGCTGTACATCCACGCAACATAGTCTGGGCGCTTTAATTGCTAAAGAACGCAGTCATCCCTCCGTTGCTAATCCTGCTTGGTGCGCGTTCCAGCAGGCTTATGAAACGCCCCTGCTGCCCCCGCCGAGGTTCGGCGTCTTCATCTCCGGCTGCTATCAACCGCATCCCACACAGGTGAGGCATCCAGCCCACGGTGCAGCTACCTCAATATTCAAGTTTTGGTTCGCCTCCGTGCCTGCCTTCTACCCACAAGCTACGCTGTTTGAGATGAGATCATGTGAGTCATCACCATAACAACAACAAGGCAACGCTAGTGTTGATTGCGTTGCTTGCAACAGCAAATGCCGCTTCTGCGTCACTAATTCCGAGCTCCGCAAGTCTGGCTGAGCAGCAACGCCGCTGAACACGCGCCCCCGTACAACACACAACTCCTGGTTTTTTGACACAGTATAACCACACCACTGACACCCAGAGATGACCTCGTTGTTCCCGCCGATGGTTGCCTCCAACCCCAACCTCCTCTTCCCTTGCTCTCCCGTTCCCCCTCCCTGGCACGTGATAGTTGAAATTATAATATTTTGCTTGCACACTAAATTATCTTGGTGGCTGGCAGATGCCAGGTTCTCGCAAGTCCAGGGAACCTTGCCGAGTCTGGATGTCTTGTCGACGTTTTCATTCTGGGTAACCACCCGTCCTGCCTAGTACTTTGCGCCCCCCCCGCCGATCCGGCTTTTCCAGACCCGGCAGAAGTTCTACAGTTCTGACGACGGCGATGTTTGATCGTTGGGAACCCCAACCCCCGACCCCTTGGCTGGCAGATCCTGAGCTACCCGCTGACCCAAGACCAGCCCCAGGAGACGCTTCCGAGCATGCACGTGTGGGCTATCGAGGATCGGTTCGTGCCGGCTTCGCAGTCCCAGAGGCTTGCGGGGATGTACCTGCGCTCCGCCGTGTTCATGCACCGCGGCCGGCATTGCGTGCCCCAGAACAAGGACATCGTGCCCAACTTTGTCCGATTCTTGGAAGAACGGCGGTGAGCTACGCTATGGGGCGTAGCCAAATCCTCTGCTGGCCTTCGGAAGTTTTGCTTGTCTGTGTATGGCGAGGTTGGCCTTGTTTTGGCTCGGTTTAGATGTGATGTTGGGTATGGGTAGGTCTAGGCATGGTTTCCATGCATTCGGTGATGATATCCTTGCAGCGAGTATCTTGATGCTGGCTTTCTTGGGCCGAAGTTCCTGCCGACGTGCAAGGACCGATAGCAGAGGCGAACACGCACGCGTGGATCGTGGATTGTGCATCGCGCATCCGCCAAGACATCCTTCGCATGCGCTTTTGTCGACTGCACCATCGCTCTCTTGCTTTCCACCAAGAATCGTCATCTTGGACGTCATCGTGGACAAGCTTCCGATTTGATATTTTTCGGGTATAGTTGATATGGAACATATTTACCTGATCACTACTGTATTCCCCGTGCGACCCCCGATCACACACGTGCACGCATCGCTTTCCCAGATAAATTAGAACGGTTTTCAGCGGTTGGCGAAGTGATTGTTGTAGAAGTTGCGAAACGACGCTTGGTCGTAACGATGGGGAAACTCTTCGGTCGGTGGTAACGGTCGTTCTTGAAATAGATTGGTGCGCTCGAGCCAGGTGTTCTTCGATGGGTGCTTCAAACGTAACCCAAGGTGTTTCCTACTCGAGATTTGTACATGCTCCCACAAGCGCGTGAATTGTTAGATATTGTCATCATGCGAGCTTCTGGATAGAGTGCCGTGGTGTGACGTCGGTGATGTTGGGTGTATTGGTTTGATGGTCGTGTTGGTGTACGCCTCATGGTTTTGATGGTGGGGAAAGTGATTTTGGTGGTGTCCCTGTGTTTTCTCGGACAAAAACAGTCCTATTCATATACACAGGTTTGAGATCAAAATTCTACCATATTGTTGGTATTTCAAAATAAAAATGGTGGTCTGTCGCAGAGTGTTTTGTAAACGCCGGACGCCTCTACCGACTGAAACCCAAAAATGGAAAGAGCAGCTCACAATGAACACAGCAAGCCGAGACCGCTGTTCAACAGGTGACAGCAGTCCTACTGTGGGACTTGGCCACAACGCAGCATGGGTAATACCTGGTTGTGACGCACACCACATGTGTCAAAGAGTTGGCGCAGGGTATCAAACCGATTTGTGGCAATCTCTCTCAGCACAAAAACCATGGCCTGCTTGTATTTTGTTCAGAACGGACGTCAGAACACGAACCAACCTCTGGCCATCCCTGCCGTGATATTCATGCTGAAGGCATCTACTTAGCACATGGGCTGTATTATCTTCTACGCAAACGCGTGGTGTCTTTAGTACGTAAGTCTTTCAATTGACTGTGTTTATAACCACAACAACACACGGAGCTACCGACGACCATGGCAATCGAGAAACTTTCTACGACCCTAGGGCAGGTGCAGGGCAGACGACACGTCACCAGCGCATATGATCTCAATGATGGGTCAAACTTGACATGCTACAATAAATGAAATCGCTATAGGGTTGCCCACGAACGGTCGTGCCCCATCCAAACTCGGAGCGGGCTAATGTTGATGGGGAGTTCCATTTTACTTTTTTGTTGCAAAAGCCCAAACACCTTCAAGCACACAAACGACAGAAACTGTGCAGGACAACTCTAGTCAGATGCGAAGTCATCACATGCAACCGTGGGGACAAACGGCTGTCATTTTGATGCCTCACATGCCACTTTTCCCATGGCGACGTTGAAGGCCGGCGCGAGCAACACTCACGGAGGTTTCTCCGGACGCCTGCATCATACGTGAAGCAGACACAAAAGCACGGTGAGGAACTGGACGCTCGGGAACATTGAGCGGTAACATTGAGCGCCGGCTGCTTCAGCAACCATGATGCCGAAATGCATTGGCATCGATAGTTAAATATCCCGTAGCAAGCAAACAATCGAGAGTTCTGTCGATATCATCCGAGAATCCTGACCCCTTTCTTCACACGCTGACTTCACGGCGTTGGTGGTGAGTAAATGTGCCCAGCTACGGGATACAGAGGAACGCACGGCGGCAGCCAATGCCATAGCAGCAACAACAGCAGGGAGGTGAAACACTGAACCAAGCAGCAGAAACCGTTCGACAAGAGCACGCGTGTTCCTATGCAACACCCGCCCAAACAGAGCTGTCACCAGTGCACCACGTTCTCTAGCCCTTCGCCTCAGGATCGGTATCATGGTCTTCAGTGGTGTCGAAGCTGTTTTGTTCCTGTTCAAGCCCTCTGCGCCATGGGCAACGCCGAGGGTGTCCGTAGGCCACAGCCAAAAGACAGCATGAACCGCCTCCACTTGCAAAAAAAGGCGGTCGATGGCCCTCAGCTTGTGCACCTGCTTCTCCATGGCCGTCTTTCCGCCGTCCATATTCTCATGGAGGGAACAGTTCGCGAACTCCGTGGGTGACGCTTAGTTCAAACGGCCCCCCCGTGCACTTCAAGGGAACAGCCGACGCCGTATCTGCTCCGGCATCAACGAGCAATCGCACCACTCTCGGCGAACAGCGAAAGCCTGTCATGCCGCCATCAATGCTGCAAAGCAAGGGTGTCCTGCCGACAAGGTCGTAGGTATCGTTCACATACATGCACCGTGTCGCTGCTGCAAAAGGAGTTTCACTCCTGCCTCGTCGTTGCGTCCAGCGGCGGTGATCAGGGCCTCGCCGGTATCCATCACTCCTACGTCTGCCAATACAGCCATGACGTCGACATTCTGGCTGAGGGCGGCCAGGCGGAGAGCATCTACCCCACCACTTGCACCGCCGCAACCCTTAATACTGACTTGCTGGACCAGTTCTTGCACCACCTCCGTTTGTCCATATTCCGCGGCTGTGTCCAACGGGACGAAGGTTACTCCCGATGATGTCGGCTTTGTCAACAGCGGATTTGCTTTTGCACGAAGGAGCACCCTGGCCGCTTTCTTGTGTCCTTGACGCGCAGCAGAATATAGCGGTGTCTCTCCATCCGACCTGACGCTGTTGACGCAGGCGCCTGCCTCAATGAGCACTTGCGCTACTTCCCAGCACCCTGAGTCAGCAACCAGATGAAGCGGCGTCTCTCCCTCCGACGTCACCGCTTCGAAATCTGCACCGGCCTTGAGCAGCATCTTGGTGACAACCGGATGGCCGCCGTCTTGAGTGGAAAAATGTAGAGCCGTGTGGAAATCGTCAGCCACTACTGAGACGTTGGCTCCCTTGTTGGGCAGGATCCTGACCACCCGTGAAGAACCCCTCCAGGCCGCCAACATGAGAGGGGTCCAACCGTACTCCGCGCCCTGGTTGATGTCTATTGATGGTCTGCTCGCAAGCAGGGCAACAACTCGCTCGATAGAGCCGTCGTTGGCGGCCCTGTGAAGGTCATTCTGAGGGCCTCGAGGCCACGGTTGGGCGGGAACCCGCTGTGTCGCCATCTCCGGTGCCGGAGAAAGGTCGGCAATCTGGCCGAGATAAGAGGTGTGCTTTTTACTCGGGCAACAGAGGGGAAGCAGCGAAGGAGACGAGGAAGATACACAGCAGCGCGGCGAGGCGGTCTATGTGGTTCCTCTTCCAGTTTGAAGACTATTCAAATGGATGACCAAAACTGCCCCATCTCCACGCACACTGACTCAAAACCCCAACTCAGGTCAACCTAACGCTAGTTAACCCTGATCTTGACACTGGGTGGTCTCATGATGAGGTGTGTGTCCGTTGATTTGGGGGTGAGTTAGGTAGGTGCGAACATATGAACGGGGGTCCTGTAGTGGACGGAGTCAAGATGCGAAATTAGACAGTTTGGGGGTCATCGCTGGGAGAGGGTGAAGGCAGCAGTCCCGGCTGCTGCTGTGCGACAGCTAGAGGGTCTTTTCCTCCGGAACACTTCACAGTTGTCGCATGCACACCGAGTGTGTGACTCCTGGGTGCTCTTCGGTCATTTTCGAAATCAGGCAAGTCAAGGTCGGGTGTCACCACGCCCCTGGATCATCCATACGAGATTTGCTGCCATCAATAGACTAGCTGTGAAGGTTCATTGTTGGGGTGATACAAAAATGGCACAGGCCAGGGTGTGGTGCGTGTCTCATGTGCATAGATTACATGGTTACAGGGGGTGGGCGAGATTGGGTTTAGGTAGAAGGTCGGAGAGCAGAGGGACTTGGCGACCTTCTACACCACACAGAACTCCGACACATGTTTTAGCTGCTTGGGTGCGTGTCACTGATGCAGTGCAACATACGAACTCCCTGTTTTCATCTTGATCCCTGGTTCACGGCGCGCGTTGTCGTTGTTTCACATAGCGTAGGGGAGTACTGCTGGCAGTCACGGGTTGGCATGCGTAGATGGCAGCAATTTGGCGTGTGCGCATGTTGGTGTGGGCATGTTCAACTCTTTGTGCGGGAAAACCTCGTAATCAAGGCACTTCACCTGCAGCCATTCGGCTACCCCTGTGTGGACCTGGCGGGCAAATAGACCCTGCACGGACACTGCTGTGACAACCTGGGAAGGGAACTGGTCCCGACAAGGTCCACGGGCAGGGAATCCTGTCAGGATGTCGACGTTTCCAGGATTGTAATAAGTAGATCTGCGGGCCGTGAAAGGCAAAACCGCCAGGAAGATCCTTCACATGCACACACACACCATGCTGTTTTCAACCGCACTACAAAAATATAAGACTGACGTCGTTTCATTGGTCAGCCGGTTAGCGCGGTCGATGGTAATAATAAAAACACATATACCATCATGCAAGATACTCTGCTGTAAATGGCATGTAGACCGAAACCATTGGCACATTGCGAAGTTGACATTTGCAGCCTTGGTGACGACACTTCACGTCCTCTTACGCACCATTCATCACACTACGGGCAGCTCCACAGAGGCGCGTGCTAGGATTTGTTGATGGCAGAGTGGCTGCATGCGGTGCGCGGGACTGTCATCCGCCTTCATCAACGGAGCCGCTTCATATCTTAGCCGCCGCGCCCCTGCGCCGTATTAGGGTAGGTAGAAGGGAGATGGACACGAAACGCGAGGGACACGACCACACGCGCCACCCACCACGCACCACGCACCACGCACCGTAAGTGCCGTGTAATGTCGATTTTAGCACTGGATGTCACAGCTTGCCTCCCCGTCCACGGGAATCGATATTTTGATGCGGTTCGGGTTGGGGGGAAAGCATGTGGAGGTCCACCCCAACCAGCAAAACTGCTTTGACCCAGCCGGCCGCTAGAGGGTAAAGTGGACCTCAACAGGACAGCAGGTCAAGGCACACACTCGGGAGGAATCGGCCGCAACCTTTCCTCGGCATCGCAATCTCAGGTGAAAGCTGCCTCGTATAGACATTCACCGGCGCACTCACACCCGGACGCACGGAATACAGCAGCAGCCTAAGAAGAGTGCCGTCATGGTGTGCAACGAGGTCAGGGAGGAACCAGTAGAACATACATGGAAGTGGGGGATCGAGGAGGTTGCAGTAATGGACCAGTACACATACCTCGGAGTAAAGATCGCAAACGACTGCTCGTGGAATGCACACATGTCCAAGGTAGTGGAAAAGGGCAAAGCACGAGCAAGGAAGCTGCACCCAATACTCGCAAACCGGCACCTCGATACACGCATCAAATTGGCGGTTTTGAAGAGCGTAATCGTACCGCCGCTAGAGTACGCCGGGGAAGCATGGGAAGGAAATAAGAAGGTAGTGAAAGAACTCGAGGCGGCGCAGATGAAAACAGCGAAAATCATCCTAGGATGCTCCAAGCGCACAAGTAATGCAGCCGTCAGGGCAGAATTGGGGATCAATCCCTACGGTCGGGAAAAGACGCAAGGAAGCTGACATGGCAGTATCGCATGTGCGGGGTGGGAGAGGAGAGATTGCCGAGAATAGTATGGGAGGCGACGTGGGCAAACAAAAAGAGGGGTAGACAACCCACGGAATGGGTCAAGGTTGTGGAGGACGTATGGAAGGGGTTAGACATCGACGAAGATGAAACGCTGGAAACGGAGGGTCTACAGGGGTTCAAGGAGAAGATATCTGTTGCTTGTGCCGAGAGAGAAGAACAGAATCTAACGAAAGAAACCAAGGATAAGGAGGGTCTAAAAGTGTATGGAATGTTGAAAGAAGGAATAGGGTTCAAGGATTACCTACATGGACCAATGGATGCAGGGACAAAGCTTAAGGTCAAATTCCGGACCGGGGACATAGGCCTTCGAGAACGTCGACGAAGACATAGGACGGTAGACGACGAAGACGACAAGTTCAAATGTGATTGCGGCTTCGAATGCGAAGACCGTGTTCATGCAGTCGCGGAATGTCCGTGGTACGAAGAGGAGAGGGAAGTGTACATGACTGAGCTGGGAAAAATACAAGGAACGTACAGGGAGATGTTTGAGGCATGGAATAGAGAGGAGAGGACGGTAGCTGTACTGGGGAGTAGGAAGTGGTTTGAAAAGGTGGGAAGGGATATCGTTAGGACAGACAGACTACGGAAAACATTTTTGAGCTACCTTCGGCAAAGTAGGAAGGAACGATTGGCCATCGGTGATCGGTCCTGTGGGAACAATGCTCCGTCCTCTCGAGGACGCGTGGACAATGGTCTAACCGCTAAGGCATGCAAAACATAAGAGTACGCCCCCCCCCCCCCCCCCCCCCC